ATCGAGAATAGTCTGTCTAATAAGACAAGACTTATCCATCATTTTCAGTATGTTAGCGCCTCGAGTCTCAAATTCTGAAGAATCCGAGAAATCGGGGGAGATATTCATTCATGATGGACTTCTTATTGAGGTTAAGTTTAACCTCGGACGAAGTAAACAGTTGCAGGTACCACAGGTTAAAATATGCCGCGATGAAGAAGGGCCAATCGATAGCAACAGATCGTGCCATGATGACAAACCGACGCTTTCCATTCAAAGATGCCATGCTTGAGTCTCAGTACACTGGGAGATTACAGAGAGTTAGTATTAACGTACATTGAGGTTACTAGCTTGAGGTATAAATACGATCAGATTACATCGACGGCGCAGGTGCAATGTTCGCCAGGTGCTGTATGCAGGCGTGCCGCACTCACTTGATGAGGAGCAGGTGAGCCGCATTACAATGTGCCGCGAACGATGTGCCGCGTTGTCAAGCAGACATTCATGAAAGGTAATTACCAATATAGCTAGTTATCCTCATTTGTGCATATGTGAATCTCTGGAATCTTCCGTGTGTACCAACGACAGGAGTCTTCACAACCAGCATTCAGACTGGAGATCAGCCGCAGTCAGAAGATGATGACCAATACGCTTCAGAGTTTCGTTTTGAGATCATGTTTTATCAGTGGAACACTTTATTTTAAAAAGTGTCCATTCTCAGTCAGCAGTAATCAACAATTCACTTAATTGTGAATTGATGTATCTTCAGTTCAGATCAAGTTTATTATTCAGTATTAAAATACTGAATTTTCAAGTCATGTAATCAGTAAGCAAAAGCTTTAAGTTAAGCTTGTTCATTCCAGTTTTAGTATTTCCGAGGACGGAAATATTTTAAGGGGGGTGGATTGTAACGCCCCATATTTTATTAATAAAGGAAAATACTAGCTTTTAGTTTTAAGCTAGCCTTTATTAATAAATAATCATGTTCATGTTCAAGTTCAGGTTAATCAGTGAGTTATATTTTATGTTCGACTGTTAGTCGATAAGTTATTCGGTTTAATTAATTCAGTAACCGAATAAATGTTCAGATTTAATTCCGATTTATTTACTTAATTAATGAGTTCGGAATTAATTATTCAGTCAGGAGTATCCAGTTATGTTTTTAGTTCCAAAATAATAATATTTTCGAGTATTATTTTCGGAAATAATTATTTCAGTCATTTCAGTTAAGATTACCGAAAATTATTTTCGACGTCCCGTTTACGTTCGGAATAATTTTGGTAATTAAGTATTATGCTTAGTTAAGTAATTAATCACTTAATCATGATTAATTAAAGAATTAATCATGTGAGAAGCCTTAATGCCGTATGGATTTTGCCATATGCCCTCAATTACCGTAGTTAATGTTCAAGTGGGGAAAAATCATTCTTTTTCCTTTAAACTCATGTACATGGCATCATTAGAAGAGTGGGAGGATGACTAATCTTGCTTAAGTCATGAGTAAGCATTTAGGAAGCAACTTGGTGATGGCAAGTGGAAACAAGAGATTAAACCACATCAAT